ACCAACACTCTGCCTTGGGCAGCAGAGAAAACTGGGCTCAAATGACCCCAGCTAGGTAATCATCAAGCCTCCTCCTAAAGACCCCCAAGGTAGGAGCCAGCACTACTTCCCTTGGAAGTTGGTTCCAGATCCTAGCCACCCTGACTGTGAAGTAGTGCTTGGCAGTGCTACGCTGGCTAGCACTACGGGCAAAAGGGACTTGGTGGTCATGAATGACCGCAAGATAAACATGACCTTCAATGTGATGCTGCGGCTAGTAAAGCAAGCAAAACGTTGGTGTGCATCCATAGATGTTTCTCAAGCAAATCCCAGGACGTCATTCTCCCATTGTACTCGGCCTTGGTGAGGCCGCAGCTGGAGTACTGCGTCCAGTTTTGGGCTCCGCAATTCAAAAAGGATGTGGGGAAGCTTGAAAGAGCCCAGAGAAGAGCCACGCGCATTATCAGAGGTCAGGAAAACAGACCTTATGAAGAGAGGCTGAGAGCCATGGGACTCTTCAGCCTGGAAATGCGCAGGCTCAGGGGTGATCTGGTGGCCACCTATAAGTTTATCAGTGGTGTCCACCAGGATCTGGGGGAACGATTGTTCACCAGAGCGCCCCAAGGGATGACAAGGTTGAATGGTCACAAATTCCTCCATGACCGTTTCAGGCTGGACATAAGGAAGAACTTCTTTACTGTCCAAGCCCCCAAGGTCTGGAATAGACTGCCGCCGGAGGTGGTTCAAGCACCTACTTTGAACACCTTTAAGACACATTTGGATGTTTATCTTGCTGGGATCCTATGACCCCTGCTGACTTCCTGCCCCTGGGGCAGACGACCTCAGAAGATCATTGAGTCCAGCCCCTTCCAGCCCTAATGTCTATGAAATCTATGAAATCTACTAGGTCCCTTCTAACTCTAGAAATCTATGAAATCTATGAAATATTGCAGATGCAAAAGTAGTATCAGAGGTCTGTTCTATTCTTTGTAGCTGACCTTAGAGAAAAACTAAAATAAAAAAAGCGTGAAAACATGCTTTTGTCAGTATGACTGTGAAGAATAAAAGTAGCAAAGTTTGGTTCGTAAGCCAAACTTCTGGACAGAATCATTCATTTATGTTTTGACTGTAGGATACAGATCATAGCTCAAATGTGGACAAGAGTAAATTTAATTTTATCCTTGACCCTGCAAACACTTGTTCATAAAGTTTGGAATTTGTATTAGTAGAATTGTTTTTCATGTAGGTTGTCAAGCACCTTACAGTATGGTTGAAACTTCAAAAATATCTGAATATTAAAAGGGAAAATCTTCATGAGAATGTTCCCATATTTTTCCACCACCTATATATTTAGGTAGCTGCAGAGCTTAGACTAGAGCCTAGGACATTCTGAACTACTTGAAGCAGCAATTCTGGTTCAGCTGAGTGTACTTCTATGTGCCCACCACTTTTGACAATAAGGGTATTTAGGTGCCTAAATAAGAACCTAACTTCAAACATGTATTTCTGAAAATTGTAAACCAATTGCCAAAATGGAAAACCCCATCAACAACCAATCATGTAACTCAGTAAACTTTATTCATTCACTGTTGTACCTGTTGGTTTGTATCCCCAGTTCTTTGTTCATTTCTGACTTTCAAAATGCAATCTCTCCAAGGCAGAGATTATCTCTATCTGAGAATGAGATTCTACAAAACAGTAGGTAGTGTCAAATGCCAATGATTCTCAACCAAGATGCCATGGCATCCTGGTGTGGCACGAGATCCTTTTAAGCATGCTAGGGGGTGCTGTGCAATACTGGCACTGTTAGGTATGCAAACACCTATACATGATTTACAATGTAAGCCCAGAGCCTATGAATGTCAAAAACATCCTGACCTGGTGTGGTCTGAGTTCTTTGCAACAAAACAATTGATCTATAATTTTCTGTAGCCAAAAACTGAATGGAAGCTAAGAGCTGGTATTTACTACAGGTTACCTTGAGTCTAATGAGAAGGACTTGAATCTGAAAAGGTTGAGAACCACTGGTTTAATGTGATTTGGGGCATATGTCTACCACATAGTTCAGCTTTGAAGCATTTTTAACACATTGATGTTATCATCTATGAGGTGTTTTTTTTAAATTAAAACATTATCCAAAAATATTACTTGGATATATAAAAATAATGAAAAAAAACCTTTGGAGGGTTTTAAAGGCATTTTAATCTCCTCCTCCTCCTTTTCACTGTCTTCTATCCAGTCTATAGCACTTTTGTCTGTGGTCATGCCATAGTTAGATACACTGCTGCTGGACGGTTTTATCTGTAAAAGTTCTGGTGATATGTAAGACTGCTTAATATCATCATCATCCACTTCATCCTCTGAACTGAATGGAGGTGTTCTAAAACAAAAAAAAACAACAGATGGGTTATTTAAGAACTTTGAAATCTTGAGCTTTCTGGGTTTTCCCTAGGAAATGTATGTATGTTTTCCATTTGAAAATAATGGTGTATCATATCACCTCAAAATACACAAACAATATATTAAAGAAACTTCAAGTAACTAATAAACTGACATCTTAAATTAACTCTCTTATACCCTCTACCTATATAACAAAAGCCAAATCATAATCAGCTGCCCAGATCAACAGGTATAAGCTTTTGTGAATCAGGAGGGAAAGCAAGAGTCCAGAATCAAGACACCCTAACAAAAAAATTCTGCTACTTAAAAAAAAAAAAAAAAAAATCTAGGGACTAGCTGCAGAAGTTTCCCAATCTATCCCACCTGTTCAGCTGGTGACAATGAAAAAGACTTTTCTAATATAACCAGTACCCAAGTATTATGATTTTACAAACAACACTAATATCCTGCCGCTCAGGAAAAAAATCAACAGATAGTACAATTTATAGAATATGGGTGTAATATGTTGCACATGACTAACATGAAATATTGTGTTTAATTCTGTGCATATTTATATAGCAGTAAAGTCTTGAAAAATAAAGATTTTAACAAGGCAAGAGAAAATCTTGAACAGGCTAAAAATACCTTATATTTATGTCCCTGTCACTAAAGCCTAAGTACTATAGATATACCAGATCAAGTGAGAATGTTGGATTAGCAATTATGACAACAAACTCAGAAAGAAATGTATTTTAGAATAAATTATAAAAATATGGTTCATAAAATGCTTGTGATTTTAGCTTAATAATAGGTTTTCACATCCTAGATCTATCAGCATCTAAGTAAGCTCAGATCACTAAAAAATATTATCTTCAAAACCAGAATTGAGCAAAACTTACGCAATGCTAGATGTTCTTCTGGAAACTCCATCTCTAAAAACATGCTTCCTGGGTCTGTAAGAAATAAAACAAGTTACTTAACTTCCATTGTCCACTATATATGCAGTGAAAACTGTCTTCCTTTATATATAGGAATGGGCATTCTGTGATGATTCCTATTAACATTAGTCAGAAATAGGCATATCAGCTCTCTTGTACATGAAAAGAACAAACTTGTAACATTTTTAGGACAATAATATTTGAGTTATCTGTGGCATGAGTGCTAAGAAAATGCTAAATCTTACTTTGGTGTAGATGTGTTTTCAGCAACAGACATTTTTTGTCCAGCTGGGCGTACAGTTTTAGAAGTCCATTTTACAGGTTTTTCTAACGATGTTGATAAGGTAGTTCCTAATTGAATCAACATCTGTTTATCTACAAAATAAAATATCAAATCTCAACATTAGAAGGTCATTGTTGGTGAGGAACCTTAAGTGGAATACACCTAAGGAAAAGATGAAAAAATTAAATTTCTCTGAAAACCAGCCATGAATTTTGCCCAGTTTTAGAAAATATTTCTGAAAATAAATGAAAAGTATAGAACTGTTTAAACAATGTCATTTAGTAGGCAGCAAAAATACAGCATGAAAGATCTGCATAAAAAGATTACAAAGGTAGCCATAAATAACTATACACATAGACCCTTTACTTTGAGAACGAAATATATGCACTAGAATAATATTGGGTTTCAAAAACAAGTACAAAAACAAAATCCTGAAACCAGTAAAATAAAATTATCTAACCTTCTGAAGAACGATGGGGGATGGAAACAAGTCTACTACAAGATGATGATGATCTCTCTTCAATTCTGAAGCTGATCTGACGTTCAAGGCTTTCCCGGATTAGTTGCATGTCAGGCATCCGTTTCTCTTTCTCTTCTCTAGCAGATTCAATAGCAAGTAAAATTCTATTTAAATGGTCACTTGGGATACCACGAACACCCTGCAGAAAATAACACATTGCTGTTTCATGTACGTCATGTTTAATATAAATATACTTAAGCCTGTCTTGATCAACAGAGGCAGCGAGCTGGGGGAAGGACTTAATGTAGACTGGGCAGCCAAAATGGCATGAGTTCCAGGGGTTGGGGAGTAGTGCTGGACCATGCCCAAGGGAGGAGGAGATATCCAGGTGAGATGCTGCACACAAAGCCCACAGCAGGTGGAGGGACTCTTGGAAGGAAGAAGTAACCCCAAAATGGAACCTGCACGAAAAATGAACTAGGAAGTGGTCCAGTGAGTTGTGGGTGGTATGGGAGCTATTAGCTCTGTTAAAGCTACTCTATTAGCAGTTCTATACCCTGGACAGTGGAGCTGGTTGGGCCTGGGTCTCCCTACCTTAGCCACTCCTTTGGAGAAAGGGAGAAATATTAAGGGCACAGTAAAAGATATGCACAGGCCTACTGGGAATACAGTATGCCAAGAGGAAAACAATACATGAAGGGGGCCACAGAGTGCATCTGCACCCAATGACCCTCTAGAACAGGAAAAATGAAAGCGGTGGTCTTGCATGCAATCTCAGAGCTGTACAGAGGGTGCCCACAGCAGGCACTCAGTAACACACAGGAACATTCATGCTCTTTCCTCATGAAGATGCTCAGTGCCTTCCAAACAGGGCATCTCTGGCAGTGGTCCCTGAAGAACTGTTGGGGCTCCTCCTCGTCTTCCTGTTCGAATGGCTATGTCAGTCCCTCTGCCTCTCCTGTGCAAGTGCTGCCCACCTCACCCTTCTTGTTACAGATGTTGCATACAGCACAGCAGGCAACCACAATTTTGGGCAGGTAATTCTCTCTCTAGTCAGGGGCGGGCAGTTATTTTGGGCGGAGGGCTGCTTACTGAGTTTTTGCAAGCTGTTGAGGGCCACATGGGTATCCCTGCCCCCTGGTAGACATCTTGGTAAGTCCTGTGCCTTTACCTTTGACCTTTGCCACCAGAAGTCCCGCCCCCTGCCTCCAGAAGTATAGCAAGAGGTTTTGCCATCTCAGAACCAGAAAAGCACCAAATCATATTCTAAAATGTGAAGATCTACAACATTAATTAATTTATTTCAAAAATATTTTTGTCCTGGTTTACATGTGTTTGTGTAATGTGCATAGAGGCGACTGTATATAATAGCTTAAAAAGAAGTCTCATTCTTGTATATTGTGGGGGGTGGGGAGCATGGGTATATGTGGGGTGTGGGTCTGCATGTATGGCAGTGCAAGGTGGGGTGTGGGTGCATGTGTATGGTGGGGTGTGCATGTGGGACTCGCCCTACAAACATACACCCACTGTCCCTGCCTGCACACACACACTACCCCTGCCTACACTCTCTCTTTGTCCCTCTGCCTGTGTGCCAACGTCCCCCCTGTACCAGCAGGGACCTGTGCTGCCTGGTCCAGCCATGCAGCCAGGAGCCACATGGTCCTGGAGCAGGGCAGAGGCAGGAAGCAGAAAAATGGCTGAGGGTGGGGCAGGGCTGGGCTCCTGCCTCCTACTGCAGGCTCCCCCTGGGTCCTACTCCCCCTGGCTCCTGTCATCTTTGACAGGCAGCCAGGAGCACATAAATATTTTTCTAAATTTTTTAGGGGTCCAGTGGGCTGGATGAAATGGTCTGGCAACCGAATCTGGCCTGCGGGCCATATTTTGCCCGCCCCTGCTCTAGTCTGACACCAGGCACCCCCTGGCCTTTAGCTCTCCAAAGTGGTTGCAACTTCCACATAGTTATTGCCAGCAGCTTGTCCCCTGACAAAGGAAACCTGGGATTAGCTCTGCACAGATTTCTAAGACACTGGTCTTCTACATTCTGATGTACTCTTGCTGCTGCTCATCATTTCATGGGTCTAGCACAATCCTCTCCCTACCAGTCTCCTTTTTTTCCTGCATCAAGGGAGAGGAGATTGACATCATATATCTTGACTTCAAAAAAGCCTTCAGTCTGGTATCCCATGATCACCTCTTGGCAAAACTGACCAACTGCAGCCTCGGGTCCACCACAATCCATTGGCTGGGGAACTGGCTCCATGGTCAGACCCACAGGGTGGTGGTTGACGGAAGTCAATCATCATGGTGCCCTGTGACCAGTGGGGTCCCACAAGGCTCTGGCCTTGGACCTATATCGTTCAACATCTTCATTAATGGAGTCATTAATGACCATTAATGAGTCATCATGGTCATTCTGACCTTGGAGTCAGAAACGGACTGGCCAAATTCACCAATGGTACCAAAATCTGGTGTAAAACATCCACACCTGAGGACAGGAGGGTGATCCAGGCTGACCTTGACAGGCTCCAGAAATGGGTGGACAATAACCTGATGGTGTTTAACACTGAAAAAGGCAAGGTCCTCCACCTTGGGAGCAAAACCCTGCAGCATCCTTATAGGCTCGGCAGCGCTACGCTGGTTAGCACTACGGATGAAAGGGACTTGGGGGTCATGATTGACCACAAGATGAATATGAGCTTTCAATGTGATGCTGCAGCCAGTAAAGCAAGCAAAACGCTGGCTTGCATCCATAGATGCTCCTCCAGCAAATCCCAGGACGTCATTCTCCCGTTGTACTCGGCCTTGGTGAGGCCGCGGCTGGAGTACTGCATCCAGTTTTGGGCTCCTCAATTCAAAAAGGATGTGGAGAAGCTTGAGAGAGTCCAGAGAAGAGCCACATGCATGATCAGAGGTCAGGAAAACAGACCTTACAATGACAGGCTGAGAGCTATGGGACTCTTTAGCCTGGAAAAGCACAGGCTCAGGGACAATCTGATGGCCACCTATAAGTTTATCGGGGTGTTCACCAGGATCTGGGGGAACGACTGATCACCAGAGTGCCCTAAGGGATAACAAGGTCGAATGGTTATAAACTTCAGCAAGACCGTTTCAGGCTGGACATAAGAAAGAATTTCTTCACTGTCTAAGCCCCCAAGGTCTGGAGTAGCCTGCCACTGGAGATGGTACATGCACCTACATTGAATGCCTTCAAGAGAAATATAGATGCTCATCTTGCTGGGATCCTATGACCCCAGCTGACTTCCTGTCCCTTGGGCAGGGGGCTGGACTCGATCTTCAGAGGTCCTTCCAGCCCTAATGTCTATGAAATCTATGAAATCTAAAACCTGCAGCCGAGACTGGAGATAGTCCCAGAGCAAGTCATCCTTGTTCATCATCCATCTTATCTTCTGGCAGGTCTGCACAGCAGGTTAAAAAAAGGTCTACAGAGTGCTATATAACAGAACTGTCCAGTTCAACCCTTTGACAATACGTCTGCTGTAGCAAAATGTGCATCTACTTATTGCTGCAGCTGAGGACTCCACAAAATGCAGGCTTAGAACGGGAAGCCAGATACGTCATTATAATCTGGCATAACCGATTTGTAATAGCTTAAGGAGACCACAACAAGGAATGTTGATGCTGCTGCCCTTACAGATTGAAAGCGGTGTTGTCTTGCTCTCAGAAAGAGGTGCCAGGTAAATCCTAGGACTTTCTCCACTGCTGTCACGCAGAAGCCAGGCACCTTTCTTGAAGTGTCCCACACAGTGCTGAAGCAGGTACTTTATAATACACTGGGGGAGGCAGCGTTACAAAGGTCCCTCAAGCTATTGACAGACATTCAATTCATTTAAAGGTGTGATGGGATATGAGCTGCAATTCCAACAATCAAGCCCCCTGTAATACTACAGGTGCATGGCAGTAGGTGCGATTGGGGGATCAGGAATCAGATCCCAATTGCGCCCTATTACTATTGCAGAGGGAGCCCGTGATCATGATTGTCGGCCCCCCGTGAACTGGTAAGTAGCAAGCCAGGTACCCGGTGCAGCTGTGGCTAGAGCACAAGTCAACTTATCGGCTTTCCCAGCCATGGGAGTGGATGGGAGCCCTTCACATCAGTGCACTCCTGTAGCTGGGAATGCCAATCAGCTGACTTGAGCTTCCAGCCTCAAAAGCACACTAGAGCAAAGGGCTACAATGCACTCCCATGGCTGCGAATATTGATCAGCTGACTAGCGTGCCAATCGTGACTAGAGAATATTGATCAGCTGACTGCTACTTGTTGGTGCATGGGGAGCTCAGGATGCTGATCCTGAGCTTCCCTTGCACCGGTAATACAGCAGGCTGGCTTTTGCTGCCAGCCACAGAAGCGTACCAGAGTCTTGAAGGGCTCCAATGTGCTCCTGTGGCTGGAAGCGCCAATCAGCTGACTGGCACTACTAGCCAAGGGAGCGCAGAGAAATCCTTCAAGGCTCTGGTGTGCTCCCGAGGCTGGCAGCAATGATCAGCTGACTGGTGTTCCCAGCCTCAGGAGCATACTGGGGTCTTGCTGGGCTCTGGTGTACCCCAAGGCAGAGGGTGACAATCAGCCCACTGATGCTCCCAGCTCTGACAGTGCACAGGAATGCTTCAAGACCCCAGTGAGATGGGAAACAACCACAAAGTTAGTACACATTCTGTTTTATCACGCCGTTAACTGCATGAACATGTGGCTGGGTTGCTACTTAAAATGTGATTAACTGGTTAATCATGTCTTAAGTGTAATGTCGGCCAGGGGCCTGATACCAACTGCTTCTGCTACTAGTACAAGTTGTGGCACACACCCATTTGCAGCAACAAACATAGCTTGCCTCCTTGAACGCAGTAGTTATAATGAGACTTTTTCCTGGTTTGTGCTGGGAGCTTTGCCTCTCCCAGCTTATAACATTATAATGTACATCCATGGCCTTAAACTATTAATCCATACTTATTGATTCTGATTTTGCTGTACCTTAGGGGGGAAAAGGTTGTGGGAAGCAGTACTGAGGAAAGATGGATGAAGGCATATATTAAAAGGGTATCAGAAACTCACTATATTTTTCATACAGGAACTACTGAAAACTCTCACCTTGGGAATTAGAGAATTAGTTAGTGGGAATCAGAGATAAAATCCTAAGGCCTGGGGGAGTTTCAGCAATCCCCTTAAGCAAGCTTCTCTAGCTTATAATGACAGTGGACTTCTACTTAGAAAGGTTAGTAGGATACAGTAACTTTGAGAGCTGTGATAGAAACTGAAGGGGAAAGGGAAAAAAGGTGGGAGAAAGGACTATTTCCCTCTATTAATTTAAAAGCACCTTACCATTTTAATTCCCAAGGATTCCAACTTTTCCTCCAGGGCCTGCTCCAAAACAGCTCGTAATTCTTTAGTTAATGAAGGATGCGTTTTCAAAGCGCTTATTAAATGCTGGTTACTTCTGCCTATTTTGTGATCGCCTTTCTCTATTTCTGAAATAAGATAAGAAAATCGCATTGAAAAAATGTTTAAAATGCATAGTACATGGGACACATACTACAGTTAAATTAAGCATGCAATTCTTTATAACAGCATACACGTCAATTTTTTTTTAGTTGGATTGTATTTGTTCAGTCTTGCTCTTTTCTTAAAAATGTCTAGCACTACCTTACGATAATTAGAGCACTCAGAATCCATCATTTAAATAACCTCCAAATAGTCACTTGCCTTGAGTGTCAATGCTTTTTTCATGCTACAACAACAAAAAGTTATATGCATAAATATGGAATTATGGAGGGAACTGTGCGCCCTTCTGGGAAAGGAAAATGATCTATGATAACTAATTTAGCATGGAACAACACAGCTGGACTCTGGCTCATGTCTCCTAATTAGATATATGACAAGCAAGTGACTTTCCTCCTCCTCTTAAAATGTGTTCCAAAATAATGACATAGTTTCTGCTTTACTAGGGTCTACAGGATGTAGATTCCTTCTGTGAGAGTAGAGAGTGTCACACATGCATAAAACAGAGATGGTAGCATCAATTCTATTTCTTGTTTTATACATCTGTAATATCATCAACGCTTATACGATAATACTAAATCCTTAATAGGTAAGTAAAAAGGTAAAAGATAAATTAGGCTTGGGTCTTACATGGCACACAAGGGCAGAAGTGGGATAAGATTCTTCACACTTCCTAAACTGTAGACTCTGCCTTAATTCTTACCAAATAATCATGGCCATTATGCCTACCTCTGTTCTCTATTTGCCAGGGCATAGAGTGGGAGTATGTAATACCCCAGAAAGGGATATGGTAAATCCAAACCTCCTTTCTCTGGAAGACCAACAAAGAACTGTACAGCACTAATTCTTGCCAGTGCTCTTTCTGGAGCAGCATCCCCATGTACCATCCATGCTTTGGGCTGTGCTGTTTATATAACGTCTGATTTAGTACTGTCTGGTTTTTAAAATAGATGTGGTCATGATAAGCCTTATTAAAACGCAGTTCAATTCAGCTTTAATGTTTTCTGTGCTTACTGACTTCTGATACAGTCACAAGCAAACGCCTCTGCTTTTACAGTTAGTATGTGACAATGCAGTAATGCTTTGTTAGTGCTATAGAGAATAATTTAACTGGAGCAGTTAACATTCAGGGCTTCACCTGGATGTGGGCAGGATTTAACTGGAGTAGTCAGTGTTCATGGCTTCACCTGGATGTATTTGAGGAAGCAAAAACAACCATAGAGGACTAAGCCTTCTTTTAAAATAGGGCTTAGTTAGGAGACAGCCCAAGACAGAGAAGTAGTTCAGGAAGGAGGAGAGACAGCCCTCTGGGACTGGCTTTGAGAAATGGGGACAAGATGCAAGAGGTAGTATTGGGGGTTGCTGCTCTGCTAGAAAAAAGGAACTTAGACTTGTGTCCAGGTGGGACAAGAAATGTAAGCCTCAGGTTGGCAGATGATGGATTAGTTGAGTTTTGAGATTACTACTAAGGAAACCTGGGAGAAGATCCCTTTCATGACTTCGAAAGAAAAGAGGATCTTAAAAACAGTCCTTATGTAGTACTAAGAAAGTGCTGGGCAGGACAGTATCTGTTTGGGTCTTTATTTGGGTTTTGAAATTTTATAGGCAGCTAGTACTTTGTAACTGCCCAATATGAGAACCCTTAAAGGAGCCTGACTTTTAGGAGGCTAGGACTAAACACTTTTGAAAGTCCAGTGCCTTTAAGATGCCAGGCTTGACCACAACAAAAAAAAAAAATCAATGCATTTAATACTATTGTATTAAGCCCAAACTCAGAATTAACCAATGTCAAAACCAAAACAGAAAATTAATTTTTAAGAGCTACAATGTGATAGAGCAACATATCCTATACATACCTTACTGTTTTAATTTTGCATCTCTTTTTATAATCCAATTAATATTTCTCTGTCTGATTTTCAATTTCTTGTTTCTCTATTCTTAACAATATTTGTAATTTGCATAGAATTTTATTTTATGTCAGAAAGTAAGCAGATTTCCTAAACCATTAAAATAGTCTTTTAGGTGCACTGCATAGTTTGGGGAATGGGAAACCTCTGTAAATGGGGAGGAAAAAAATTAGATTCTCATTTAAACCTATTGTCTGCTTCCTTTTCAGCTCTTTTCCTCAATGTAGCCTCATTGCCACTGAGTTACTGGCTTCAGCAACTTCCAGAGAGATACAGAAAAATGACTGAACATCCATCTATAGATATAATATCTATCTATCTATATAGACCTATCTATCTATAGATAGGTGTATATATATATGAGAGAGAGAGAGAGAGAGAGAGAGAGAGAGAGATTATATTATATTAATATATTATATAATATATATATTATATCTTTCTAAATATAGATAGATAGATAGATAGATAGATAATTATAATATAATATAATATAATATAATATATAAAACTTCCAGACTTATCCTAATTAAAAAAATAGGAATAGCATTTAAACCAGCTTTTCTCTAGTAGAGAACATGATTAGACTTTAAATGGGAGGAAGATCCCATTCTGCCTACCACTGAGTTAAAGCAGGAGTCAACAACCTACAACCCACAGGCTAAGCCACTGGAGCTGGCCTGGCCCAGAACCGAGAGATTTGGGGAGTGTTTGGCAGTGAAGGACCTTGGCAGTTTGAGAGCAGATACCTGCACCGTTGCTAGGAAAATTGCCAGTAGCTGGTTCTTTGTGCTGGCTGTATCAGACCCAAGCAGGTTCATTTCAGTCTGCTGGCTGAAGCGGCTGTTGACTGCTGAATTAAAGCCTCTAGCACTGGCCATGGTGCTGGACTACATGGACCTTGGGTTTCATCCAGTATTTCAATTCCAATGTTTTCTCAAAAAGATGTCTTCAGACCCAGAAACATTTATACTCTCCCTTACAACAGTTTGTGATGGATAATAAATATTCTGGCCTGCTTATACAGTGCAGTCTTTATTTCTATTTTGCACTACACAGTGGATCTTTGGGTACACTAGAGGAATGAAGATAAACTATAAAGGCAGAAGATGACAAACAGAAGCATTGATAGAACTAGAGTAGAAATGCAAGAAATCTATATTACAGATAGATTGGGACAGCTGATTCTTCCTTGGGAAGATTTCTTTTACTCAAATACTCTGCAGAACTATTAAGATTTTAAAATGGTATCGGCATCTCTCCCCTTAGGGTTTAAACTGACTTTGTATGAAGGTCAGAAAGGACTTTTACTTCAATATATAATTCTGCACAGCCATCTATGCAATAGATGTAGGACAGCAGGTATTGCCACTAGCTGATATATTGGATACTACTCACCGTCACATGGGCGGGATATCATAATAGGTGATTTAATTATCTTTGTTGTGGTGTGGTGTCTCTGTACATCCAAATTCGGAGTTGCTCAGCCTTGGGCTAAATTAGGGATAGCCCAAGTTTACACTACTTGCAAAATATTTCTTAGATATTGTAAGAGAAAATTAGGTGCTTCAGAGCTCTGCTCCATCATAAACCTGCTCCATACTCCATCCCCTAATGCTAAGAGTTGGAAAAGCATTAAGTATTAGTGGCAATGGTGCCAACCTCCCCCAGTTTAAACCTGTGGAGAGTTCCACCAAACAAGGGTGTTCTCCATTAACCATCATGGACCCTTTAAGTTTACTCAGAAAAAAAATGTCCTTAGCAAACCAAAGAATCTAACCATATGCTTTTATGTTAACTAATCAGATACTCTGTTTCTCTGGTTAGCTACTATTACTGTTTTACAGACATAAAAATAGGCCTCATCTAATATATTCATAAGTAACATCAGGGCTATCCAACTTCTGAAGGGCTAAGGGCTGCATGCAATGTGGGCCATGGGTCCCTTGTGCAAGCAGGCCACCCTAGACCCTCCTGCCAAATGGGTTGTAGGTTCTCTGCCCCCAGGGACAGAAGCAGGAAGCAGATGCTGAAGGAGGGAACAGAAGCCTGAAGATCCTGGTTGCAACAGTGGGAATGATGGGAGGGGGTTTGCACCTGGGTTGGAACCCATGGATCATGAGTTAACGGCTTGTGGGCTGCATGCAGCCTGTAAGTCACCAGTTGGACACTGCTAGGTAAAATAAAGACATCCAAATAAATAGGGGGATAGGTTGCAACTGTGTTGGTTTAAGGACACAGGCAGACAAGGTTCTTTGCGTAAATAGATCACTTTATTGAATAGGCCTAAGAAGTTGCCTTGCATCATATTTTTAGATCTCCATTAGAATATACTGTTCATAATATTTTACAGGCACCAACAAGAAACCAGACATTCATACATAAAAGAGACCAACGTGGGCAAGTTACACAAAGCATGCTCAATCCTACTGAAGAAGACTCTAGGGGTATGGACAGGCACTCATTAGAAGTGCTAAGCAATTCCAGGAAATTTGTAGTGCTATGAAAATGTGGCATGAAATGTGTATATAGCCATTCAAGTCCATGGCCTTCAAGCTTTTGCCAGAGCATGGCAAGGACCTGTATTGGCAGTACTCCATCACAGGGTAGGGGGCTGTATGCAATGATTTCTTGAGCTGCAGAAATATTTGTCCAGTGTTTTACCCCGGCTCCACCTTCAGAGCCCTGAAGGCCCGACCCTTGTGTGCCCAGAACTCTGGAGGTTTGTTCCTGCCCCTTGGAAGTCACCCAAATATAGCAATGGAAGTTTCATGCCCATCAGAGGGGGGACAAAATACTTGGAACATAGAAAAGATGTGGGCCACTGCCTGAAAGACACCCCTTTGGGGTGGGGGACTCTAATCAAGCAGCCCAGCTTGGGTTAGCTACCTAGGCTGCTGGCAGCACTGCCTATCAATTTAGTCTCTGCTGTGGAAGTAGGCAGACTTCTAGGCCAGCCAACAGTTTTGACCCTGGCCTGCTTTGGGGCTTCTGGTCCCTGCACTCCCTGTATTTGGCTCTGTTCCTAGATTCTGGCTTTGGGTTTCCCCACAGATCTATTTCTT